ATGGAGACCCTCAATTACACAAACGTGCCGATGATCTCTTTGGTAAACCATGGTATGAACGAATGCTAAAGGATTATAATGCGCAAACATATTGGTTCAGCGTTAATGTTCGATCCTTTGCACAAAACGCTTCTTGGCCACGTTGGTTAAACGTCGCGGTTGGCTATGGTGCCGACGGTATGTATGGCGGGTTTGAAAATAAATGGCTGGATCAATCGGGCAACGAAATCGATAGATCAGGCATTCCCCGTAAAAGACAATTTTACCTGGCCCCGGACATCGATTTTACGCGATTGAAGACAAATAAAAAATGGGTTCGTACAGTGTTTACCGTTTTGAATGCTTTTAAGTTTCCCGCCCCTGCATTGATGCTCGACAACAAAGGAAAATTCAACGCTTATCTTTTTTACTTTTAGTGTTGCCCTTTATTCGATTTTCCATTCTGCCGTTTTTATTATCGCATCCAGGTTTTCGGGTTTGTCAGCATTCATCCATATCTGTATAAACTGGCCGCCATTCGAATAATTTTTCGCGAAAGCGGAGACCACGCCAGTCTCACAACGGCCCAATACAATATCTACTTTCTTTTCGTCGATGAATAATGAACTGCTCCAAAAATCAGGCAAACCAAGTAAACGGCCTTTTGCCGTGGGGAAACTTGGGAAGTCTCCCATGAACGTACGGGTATCACCCTTACCATAATCCAGGTTCAAAATAGTATCTGCAACATAAGGATTGAAACCGACTGCCTGCTTTGTCTTTTCATCCAACCGGTATACGATCGGGTTTATTCCGGTCATTACGATCCTTCCACCATGATCGAGGTAGTCACGCAATAAACCAGATCTTCCTCCCGAAGTGATGGCAGCTGGAAAATAACTGGAGGCAAAAACAATGACACCGGGTCGTGAAGTTCTTTTCAACAATTGAACAAGCGTATCTGATCCAATTACCGTGTACCCGTTTCCCCGTAAATAATTTTTTATGGCAAGGTCGCTTCCATTCCGGAAATACACATTGATGTTTGGCTCATAAAATACAAACCGTTCGCCCTGGTCAGCAATCCGTCGATCAGCATGCCCTTCCAGTGCATACAGGTAGCCATCATCAGAGCCGGCATAGAGCAAGCCATCGTTCCATAAAGGAGATGCCATGAATTTATTACCGGCTCTGAACTGCGACACGCGTTTTCCGGTTTTCAAATCAATACAATACAACTGGCCATCAAAACTTCCTGCATAAACCTTGTCGCCCACAATAAGCGGAGATGCCCAAACGGCCAGTGTAGTCCGGTATTTCCATATCTCTTTTCCTGTTTCCAGGTGTACCGCCTGTACAAAGCGCCCATCCGAGGTACCCGTCACAACCATGGAGTCTTTGATTGCCACAGTTGAAATGATCCATGAAATCTCGTGATCCTGTGTCCATATCCTCTTGCCTGTTTCCACATCTACACAATAGAGGTAACCATCGCGCGCGCCAAAAATCACTTTGTTTCCTTTTACAACAGCACTTGATGTAATGGCACGTCTGTCAAAACCCCAGTCTTCGTTGTTCATCGTATCTCCGTTAATCCTGCACTGCCAGATCTCTTTACCATTTGCCAGGGATAGAGCGTAAAAGCCTGCTTCCGTATCACCAAATAGAACCTTATCCCTATATACCGCCGCCGTACTCCTTACGATCCCCTTGCATTTATATTTCCATACCACTTTTCCCGTCTGTATATCCAGAGCATAGAAAAATCCGTCGTCGCCACCCACCAGCAATTTGTTTCCTTGTATAACAGGTGATGAAGGATAATAATCATATCGCCAGGGATAATTGATAGCCGGTTGTAAATCAAATTTCCAAAGGAGTTTTCCAGTCAGCTGATCCAGGGCGTAAATGGATTGCCGGTTATCTGCAAAATATACTCGACCTTTTTCCCCAATAGCAGATGAATGTATCGCACCTGCTGCCTGGAAGCTCCATTTTATCACACCTGTTTTCTTATGGATAGCGGCAAAAACTCCCTTCGCATTACCAACAAAGAGATAATTTCCATCGATCCATGCGGAACCTCTTACCGGCGCTCCCATATTCAACGCCCACCTCTTAGTATCATATATTTTCCCTGATGGGTCAGCGACGACACGTTGAAATAATGGTGAAAGTGGTTTTGATTCCTGGGCGGTCGTTACAACAGCTGATGTTACTAAGAGAAGCAGTAAAATGATTCGCATAAAAAATCGGTAAATAGTTAGTCGCCGTTCATCCACTTTCGGAAGCCCGGAGCCATCTCCTGGCTTACAACTATATGGTGATTGCTGAGCGGCATGGTGAGATCAACCTGTAATTTCACCTTTTCATATGTTTTGTAGCTCTTAACGAAGGCAATGTTTACGACATATTGGCGATTCGCCCGGAAGAACACACGGTTGTCGAGCTGCTGGTGCAACTCACCAAGATTTTTATCTGACAGGTATTTCTTTCCGTCTTTATCCAACACATAGACCACCTTGTTCTCTGTATAAGCAATAACAATATCGTCAACCCGTAGCGCGATATTCTCAATACCTCTCCTGACGATCATGCGCTCTTTCGGCTTATGGAGAAAGGAATTTACAAATGTCTGGTGCTGGTTGAAATGACTTTCCAGTGTTTTGTAGCGAACGATGGCTTTTGCCAGGTCCTTCTCATCAATCGGCTTCAGCAGGTAGTCAATACCGTTATGCTCAAACGCATTGACAATAAAATTATCATACGCTGTAACAAAAATGACCGGGCTTTTAATGCTGAGCTTATTGAATATGTCGAACGAGCTGCCATCCGGGAGTTGTACGTCAGAAAAAATCAGATCCGGCTCTTCATTATTTGAAAGAAAATCGATGCTTTCTTTTACCGTCGAAAACACGCCTATTATTTCTGTATCGCCGGATACCCGTTGTAAAATTTTCCGGAACTCTTCGGCAATCAACCGTTCG